TTGTACGTTTTGTTTTATTTGAGATAGTTGCCCAGGCTGATCTTAGCACTGAGGGTTAAGTGGTCCTCTTACCTCAGCCTTTCAACTCCCAAGTGCACATTATCACACCTGGTTATAATTGTGTGTTTTGTTTGTTTTTATTTTTGTTTTGGAGGTAGGATCTTAATGTTTCCAAGGCTGGCCTCAAACTTCATAAACAGGGAAGGAAGGAAAGCCTTGAGCTTCTGATTCTTCTGCTGGGATTACTGTCTTGTGCCATTATACCTAAGTTGTGTGGTATTGGGGATGGAAAAAGAAAGGGCTTCATGCAGCTGATGATTCTTCTTACATACACAGAATAATAAAGTCATCTTCCTACTTAGAGAAGTGGTTCACAGCTTTTTTCCCCCTTTTGGCATGTTTGAATTGCCATCATTGCCACTCATGTTTTGGGGGCCATTATTAAGTAAACCTAATTGCTCGAACACAACCTTAACAGTAAGTTGCAGGTGGGTATCCACTGGACAAGGGAAGTAATTAATGTCCTGGGGAGAGTGGTATGAGATTTCATCATGCTACTCAGAACAGTGCATGCTTATACACAAAAACTTTACTTCTAAGAGTTTTCCATCTAATATTTTTAAACCATGGAAAGCAAAACCACAAATAAAGAAGGACTACTCTCTGTCTAGAGATTAAATTTAAGTTTTGCTTATTATAGCCAGTTATAGGAAGAATGTAAGAAAATTCTCAACTGCTGAATATAAGAATGTAGTCTTTTAATACATTAAAAAATAGATAGAAATATATAGGATATATGCACAATGGGATGTCTAGTCATAAAGTAGTTCTATCATTTTTATTAGCACATATGGAACAGGAAGTCATTATCTTAAGTAAAATAGGCCAGATAAGCCAGATAAATAGTACATTGTTACTCTCCTACAAACTGAAAAGCCATTTCTACAGCAGAGTGGCCACTACAACCTGAAGGGCAGAAAGGAAGACAGGGACTCTACAGATAGGCAGGATTCTGTGTTTTGTTTGCTTTTGTGTGTGGATGAATGTGGAGGTCACATTTGGGGGGATCTGCCTTCTATCTTGCTTGAGGCAGGTCTCTTGTTTGCTGCTGTTGAACCATTAAGTTTCAGAGGATTCTCTTGTCTCCACCTCCCATCTCATCATAGGTGGGATTACAGGTGCGTGCAGCTGTGCTGGTCTGTACATAGGAGCCGGTCTTTATACTTGGCATGGCAACACACTGTGCACTGCCTTTAATCCTTTCACTCTGACAAAAGAAACTTTAAGGGACAAAGAGTTCATTTGGTTAACAATTCTAGATTATGGTCCCTCATTGCAGGAAGTTAGGCAGGAACTTAAAGCAGTCATGAGTAGAGAGAGAGTGTGTGTATGTGTGCTACTTTCAGCTTGTCCTTTTATATTGTCCACTGTCCAAACCCGGGAATAGTGATACGAACAGTGGAGGACTCGTCACCATAACAGTAACATAATCAAAACCAGTGACAAGTCGACAAGTACAACTAACTGTGACACCCACTGAGCCTTCTTCATAGCTCTTTCGTTTTTAAGACAGGGCCTTACTGTGTAGCCCATTGGCCTGGAATTTGTGATGTTTCTGACTTTGCCTCCCTTCCAGGTGCTATGAATTCAGGCAGCTCTACTATACCTAGCTTATTTCTGATTTGGGCATAGCGTAGAAGAGTAACGTAAGTATAACAATACCTGATAAACTTAATCTTTTACATTTTTGTTTTGTTTTATTTTATTTTATTTTTTTTGAGACAGGGTTTCTCTGTGTCGCTTTGCGTCTTTCCTGGATCTCACTCTGTAGCCCAGGCTGGCCTTGAACTCACAGAGATCCGCCTGGTTCTGCCTCCCGAGTGCTGGGATTAAAGGTGTGTGCCACCATTGCTCGACAACTTTCAGATTTAAAAAAAAATTTTTTTAAAAATAGCCAAGTCACCCTCCAAAATAATGATTAATATTTAAACAGGTAGACGGGCTTACTGCCTCATTTAACCTTTAACCATTGCGCACTGAGAACATATATAAAATTACACTAAACCCCTGTATTGTATTTCAGTAGATACAGTTCAAGAAAATCCAGTGTTTTGACTCACCCCACTAGTGCTCTGTCTTAGTTACTTTTCTGTTGCTGTGTAGACACCAGGACCAAGACAACTTAAAGAAGAAACAGATTATTGAGAGCTTTCAGTTTCAGAGAATGGGTCCATGATCATTACGGCAGGAAGCATGACAACAGGCAGGCGGGCTTGGTGCCAGAGCAGTACGCAAGAGCTTATATCTCGATGGATAAACACGAGACAGAGAGCTAAGTGGGAAGGATGTGGGCTTTTGAAACTTCCAAGCCCACCTCTTCCTGCAAAGCAACATTTCTTAATCCTTTTCAAACAGTTCCACCAGGTGGAGACCAAGCACTCAAATATATGACCCTATGTGGACCATTCTTATTCAAACCACCACATGCTCCTGTGAAATAACTAAAATACATAGTGTGTAAGAATGCTTACTAAATAAGCAAGATGACCTGAGTTTAAATCTCCAGCACCCGTGTGAAAGCCAGACATGGCCATTTCAGATAGGTTAGCTGGCCTTAGAATTCCCGATCCAGTGGTCTCCATCCTCCAACCTCCAATATGAGATTATTTTTTTATGGGGTTATACGGGGTTATCTTTTTAGTTGGTCATGGTCGAATATGCTCTATAATTAGAGTACTTGAGAAGTAGAGAGGCAGGAGGATCACTACAAGTTTAAGGTTAGATATGGCTACATAGTGAGACCCTGTCTCAAATGTGTAGATATTTAGGGACCCCGTCCAGAACTGGGGCAGTAGTAAAACACCGATATATTTTGTACTGTACTGGATGACCTAGTGAGGTGCTCAGCCAGTGTTCTCATCTCGGCAGCCTGGAGTCCAGAGTTAAACTTCTCCCAAAGTTTGTTTCCATGGCCTGTTCCTTTTTGTGCCAGTGACTCTAGTGTGTCGCTTCCCATGACCCACGTGGTTGCAATGCTGTATTTCTATATTCACACAACACTTGTGAGACAGGGAATTTTCTCCCTGCCAACTTCTTCTTTAGTTTTGTGCACATGCCTTCTGGGTATCCTGATCTCCCATTCAGTCCTGTATCATCAAATTTTACTAGTTAAAGGGCTCACTACCACAAGACTGTCCAGTTCCTCCCATTCCTCGGAGTCCTGCATTACCTGCAACTGATTGCAAATTTAAGGGGTATCTTGTCACAATTCTTTCTTTGCTATACTCAGATGCGATGGATAGGGCTACCCTTTTTCAAGGGGTGGGTGGGATCTCCATCTCTAGGCAGAGTACACTATCCTGTAGCACTGCCTTGTATCGAAGCTTACTCTGATACTTGCAGTGTTAAACTCTGGCTCTTCCTGCTTTCTAAAGCTATGGGTGGGGTTGAAAGTTCTGTGCCGTTGGTGCTGAGTGCCTCCTGAGACTGCCTTGAGTTCTTCCTCTTATCAGTAGTACACACTCAAATGTGAGCAAAAGAAGCTCTTGACAAAAGAAAGTAGAAGGAAGTGTTCCTGTTACTTAAGGCACTGCAAGTCATGTAATGTTTTCTACCCAGGGACAAAGGTCAAATAATATTTTTTCTCTTTCGTTTTTATGGCTAGGCTAGCACAGTCTTGGACAACACAGGGTCCTGGAAAGGGGGGCAATGGTAGACAGAGACATAGGTCTATGATTCTGGCTTCACTTCAAGAATGAGTAAGTTTTATTTTCCCACAGTTGTATCTATAGCAGTTTAGCTATTTACTAACAATAGAATTGAATGCAAGTCGTCCCCTTTGTACCATTTTGAGTTCCTCTTCCACACTTCTCTGTTCCTGTGGTCTTGTGTATGCTGAAGGATATTCTTCCTTAGACTTGGACATGATCTCATGCCTGTAGCTTTCTGAAGTCATGTAGCCACACCTCAGTCAGGGTTTGTGCTTGAAAAAGGAACTGTAGACCATCTGGATCCTCACAGTTTTAACTTTTTATTTTGAGATGGGGCTTCACTGAATTGCCCGGGTAGGCCTTGAACTCACTCTGTAGTTTAGCTAGAACTAAGAACTGAATGTCTTCCTGCTTCAGCTTTCTGAGTGCTGGGATTATGGACATTCATAGCCAGACCTGACTCAGATGTCTTGGTATATCACAAGTGATATAGCCATAAGGTTGAATGCTATGCAGGTAGATGCATTTTCAGTGAAATATAATAGCCTGCCTGTGATATGAAAAACAGACAAACAGTCGATTGTGTTTGTTAGGATTCCTTGTGTCTTAAAAGATGTTTTAGATTTTGTTTCATTTTTCAGATAGGGTCTCTCCACATTGTCCAGACATACAGTTTATGAGTAGAGTGAATGTTTAGCATGCTTGAGTTGCTCTAAGTCCATCACCCTCACCTCAAAAAATAAGTAAAAGCAGGAAAGTGGTACTTTAATTTAACAGGTGCCAGCTGCTTTCTGTGGAGTCAGTGTTTACACATTTCACTGACTTTTGACAATTGGCACAATTATGTTGCAACTCCCATTACTACTGCTCTATCTGGGTATGGCTTATTAATGTGAGGTCCTTTTGTAGTTACCTTAGATATAATATGCTTCTATTTTTCTTTGAAATTCTGTCTAAGAGTGATTACCACAAGTTTGAAGCCAATCTGGTCTACAGAGGGAGTTCTAGGCCAGAAAGATTCTGTCTCAAAAAAAAAAAGTGGGGGAGTAGGGGGAAAAGTTTATTTTATTTTATTTATTTTTAAAATTTATTTATTATGTATACAGTGTTTTACCCTTGTCAGAAGAGGGCACCAGATCTCATTACAGATGGTTGAGAGCCACCATGTGGTTGCTGGGAATTGAACTCAGGACCTCTGGAAGAACAGCCAGTACTCTTAACCTCTGAGCCATCTCTCCAGCCCCAGGAGAAAAGTTTTCAATAAAAGATCTTTATTTGTATTTCTTGCAGATTTGTGACATTCAAAACCACAGACTACAACAGTACTACTGCTAAATCAGATCAACTATGAATTGGAATGCAAAGCCAGAGAATGCTACCCAAAACCCACCACCGTATTCTAAAAACCAGTCATCTGTTTTGCAGCAGTTTTTAATGCCTTCTACAACTTCTCAAAGTTCTTTTAGCTGTCTTGCACAGAACCAAGAAGCATGCATGTATCCCAGTAATTCAAATTCAGCTTCACAGCCACTTCTGAATGTCAGGAGTTATGTAGCTCCTCAGATCTCCAATATGCATAATAGGACTGTTGTGGCCTCACAGACTTCAGTAGAAAGAGTCACGTACCCAAATGTTAAAGGAGCCCAACAACCAAACCACAATTTGCAAACAGTGTCTTCAGGAGTTATGCAAAATGTCTGGATGAACTCACCAATGAGGAATTTTATGCCTTCTCATACAGAGGCAACTGTATCCCATAAACCTGATGGTGGGACTAATATGCCTTATATGCATGCACCACAGAGTCAGCTTGTCACATCCGATACCTATTCTGTGCAACTACAAATGACTCCTTCAAATTCTGTAAGAGTTCCTATAACTTATCAAGGAAATTATCAAGGAAATCAGGGACTTAACCACTCAATACCAGATCAGCTGGTTGACTGGACACAGTGCACATCTAATGATCTCACTTACCCAGATTACAGGACACCTACAAAGCAGTATCCTTATTTACCACAAAACTTTGTGCAAGACCCTTCTGTTCAGAAACAAAACTTTGTGCCATCTACATCATTACAAGTTAAAAATAATCAGCTTCCACCTTCCACACAGTCATTACAGTCAAAGCATCCTGTACCTGTGTCGTCATATCAGTATGCTGCAGAAGCCAGCAAAAGACTCCCTGCCCGGCCTTACAGCTGTAGATATGGAAGCCAACAAGTGCAAAATTCTCAGCATGTTTCTAGACACTTGCCTCTGGAAGTTCCTCAGAGTTCAGAAATACATTCATCTGAAAAAAAGAAAGATACTTACAAAGGCTTTCAACAGCAGTGGCAGAACACTAATAAAAACGTCAGCACCATTGGAAAATTCTGTGAGTTGAAAATAAATACCAAACAGTCTTACAGTGACTCTGTTAGTTCTTCTGGGGATGGTCTTCACACTCTTGTTCAAAATAATCAAGAGGAAAGAAAGTATTCCTGCAATCCAAGTACAAATCAAGTAATAGACACAAATGCCACAAAAGAAAAGCTGGTGAGGGATATTAAATCACTAGTAGAAATCAAAAAGAAGTTTTCAGAACTTGCAAGAAAAATTAAAATTAATAAAGATCTTTTGATGGCAGCTGGTTGTAGTAAAAAAGCCAATAATTCTTATACTGAACCAACTCAGCACCCTCAATTTTCAGCAAAAGAAGTGTCTGCTAAAAGTGATGGTCACTGCTCCATGGAATTGCTAGCAACATGTCTTTCGCTTTGGAAAAACCAGCCTCCAAAAAACACAGAACATGTTCCAAAACCTTTAGAAGAAAAACAGTATAATGCATCAAGAACCAGTACAATAGCAGTTGGCAGTTCAAATCCCACAAATGAAGTTCATGTTAAGAATTTTTATTCAGGTGTTAGAAATTCTCAGAAAATGACCAGCTCGTCACAAACAGTCATGTCCGTTCTCACACCGAGTTACGAGTCTTCGGATGTAGCTGTTGGAAAAGGAACAGAGCTTCAAATTGCTGTGGTGTCGCCCTTAATTCTTTCGAATATCAATGCCTTACCTGGAAAAGCGTTAGCACCTGAGGTTGTACCTGAAACTGTGTATCCAGTTGTTAAGGAAGGCAGTGTTTGTAGCTTACAAAACCAGCAGCCAGAAAATACAACAGTAACTGCGGCTTTCCCCTTTGATGTTACAGGAGCAGTAGCAAGTACTACTATATCAGCTGAGCCTTCCATGCCCATGCCTAATGAAAAACAGCACAAACCAACACAGGATGATCTAGACATAGCTGATAGCAGCCTAGGAAAACACTCTCCCCTGGGCGCTGAAGCTCTGCCTAACCCTAGTGACAGCACCATTGTGAGTGGACCTGTGTTACAGATTGAAAGTATCTGTTCTCTTGCAGAAGGTGATGTGTCCTACAATTCCCAGATAGCAGAGATATTCAACTCTGTACAAAATGAGCCCCAGAAACCTTCACCTAGTCAGCAGGTAATCAATAGTCAACAAGAAGAACAAGCAGGTGACACCACTGGAAGTAAAGACTTGGGTTTTCAGGAAGACAAGTGTGTGCAGTGTACAGATGTTCCTCATGAAGTCACTGAGCAGCCAGAGCTGCTGCAGCCTGTAGAGCCAGCATCTAGTGAGTATGTTAGAGCACACAGAGAAAGTCTAGAGGAAAGCAGTAAGGAGAACATTGGTGGAAAAGAAACAGCTAAGGATGTGTGTTCACCAGCTGCTGTTCAGCAAGATCCTCACCCTCAGGAAACTGATATGGTCAGCAATAAGTCAGGCCACAGTCTTCCTGAAATAAATGAGATTAATGATGAAAATGAATCTGTCTCATACCTACATGACCAGCTGTCAGAACTTCTAAAAGAGTTCCCTTATGGCATTGAAACTATGACCAGACATGAAGTTTCTGTGGGCCAACAAAAGACAAATAAAATCTCAGAAAATCAGACTGGTAGTAAAATTGGTAATATGCCTGGGGATAGCACAGACCAAATAAAAATTACAGTATTAAACTCAGAACAAATCAAAGAATTATTTCCTGAAGAGGATCAGCTCTGTGACTTAGACAAATTGGCAGAACCTGAGAATAGAAAAGTCCGTGCAGAAGTAAAGAGCCTGTGTGACTCACAGGTCCCCAGAGAAGAAAGTCATGACCCTGGAATGTTGGACCTGGAGAAGGACAAAATCCATTGCTGTGCCCTGGGTTGGCTCTCAATGGTTTATGAAGGTGTGCCTCAGTGTCATTGCAGATCTACAGAAGAGAAAGAGAAAGACCAGTGTTCTTTGGAGATCGACAGTTGCAAACAAGGAGAGCAGTCCTGCAATAGTGGAATCACTATTTTTGAAATTAATCCTATTTCTGATAACTCAAAAACTCCTCTGATCCAAGCAGCTGAGAAAGGCCATTTTTCTGAAATACATGGTGAAAAGATAAAAACATCAAAAACAAAAGACAGCAGTTCATCAAGGGTGGAGCAGGAATTAACTGGTCATTTTTCAGTTAAGTGTTATAAGAAAGATAAAGATGAATCTAAAACAAAACAAGATAGCTCACTGAAAATGGAGCAAAAAGTAAAAAATGTTTCATCTGAATGTGACAGACCAAATCCCTTAAAAAGCAATAAAATAGCAACCCCTGAAATATCTCATGTGATAACTTCCAACTCTGATAAAAATATGCTGGCATTTTCTAAACAAGCTTCTCAGGAAAGCCTACAGAAAAAACACGTATCTCAAGACTCAGGTCCAGGAAAAGCACATGTAGGACTTTTGCCAAATAAAGATCCATGCAAAAGGAATAGCATTTTGGTACAGTCAGTGTCACCAGAAAAGAAAAAAATAAAATTCAAAGCGGGTGGCTCCAGACTGAAATATTTTGAAAAAAGAAAAACAGACCATGTGCTTATCCCAGATGTAGAAATAAAAAAGAAGAAATATGAAAAACAAGAGCAAAACAAAAACACTGGAGACACACTCAAACTGTGCAGCACTCTGACAGAACCAAACGAAAGCACCAGTACTAAAGAAAAGACAGTGCCAAGTTCTGAGTCCTCAGACTCAAAGGGCAGCTCCTCTAAGAGTACCAGAGTTATAACCGTGCAGGAATATTTACAACGGCAGAAAGACAAACATATAATAGGGAATAATGCTTCCAAAAACATCTGTGTAGAGAATGTGCCGTGTGACCCTGATCCCGTGAAGTCCAGTAAGCATTCTGCACCAGCAAGCTGGGGAAAGTTAATTGAGGGGCAGGGTGTCAGTGCAGAGCCCTCAAAAGAACCAGAACGTAATTCCTCCAGCCATGGCAAAAATCCCAAGGTCCACCATTCTGAGGAGTTAAGGACATACAGTGTGTCAAGAAATAAAGGAAAATTTGATAGGAAGCAGCCAGACAAAGCCTATATTGATAAAACCAAATTAGAAAGATTGACCAGTATGAGTAAGTCCAGCCAGATATCTCTCCAGGTAAAGGAACAAAGGAAACAGTACCTGAACCGGGTTGCATTTAAATGCACAGAACGGGAAAGCATTTGTCTCACTAAGTTGGACAGTGCATCCAAGAAGTTTAGTAAAGAGAAAGAGAAGAGTAGGGCATATACACTTATGACAAAAGATGACACTGACAAACACATGTTGGAGTTTAAATTATGTCCAGATGTGCTGTTGAAGAATACAAGCTCTGTTGACAAGCAGGATGAGCCTGGGCCTGGGCCTGGGCAGGATCAAGCACCTGTGCAAGGTTCAGTATAATTTCTCCTTGGGGGGTGAGGGTGGGGGGGGCAGTTTCACATCTAGGTTGGCCTTTTAACTCTGATCCTCTTGTCTTCATCTCCCAATTGGTAGGAATGTAGGCCACAGGACCCAACCAGTGGTTTTGTTTGTATGAGGCACCCATAGAGGTGTAGTCCTAGAAGTGGGTGGATGGGATGGGTGAGAATTGGGGTGACAGTGTTCATTGAGCAGTGTTCATTGAGTAGCATTTGTTTTCTGTTTGTTGCCCTTTATTTTAAATTATAGTAAATTAGTACTGGCAAGTTTTCCAAACATTTCCTGAGCACAAATATATTTTATTAAGTCCCTAAGAAATTACACTGAAAAGCATTTCTTGTGGTAAAAGTTTAAAAAATATAAAGTGTACATTTGTTTAAAGAAGTTTTGGTTTTGTGGTATTGGTGGTCAAACCACCAGCACTCTGCCACTGAACCGCAGCCACAACTAGTGTCTTGGATTTAGTTTCCTTTTGTACTGGTAATTTCAAAGCAGCCTGTATGTGAAACTTTGTTCCAAATATTGAGAGGTAATGTAAGTGTTAATTAATGGGTCAATTTGTTGCCATCTTTGAAACTAAGAATGAAGATGTTATCCCCAAGTTAAAATGGTAACATCTAGTCTACTTATAAAACAGAAGACCTGTAGAAGCGATAATCACTTGGAACAAATTAATCTCTATTTACTCACAAAGTCTAAATGGTGATTGACAGAGTGGTACATATGGCATGCTAGAGGCAGAAGAATTTAGGGAGTTTAAGGCCACCCTTGGCTATAAGACGTCATCTCAAAAACTAAGAATAGTGAAAAAGCCAGAGTCGCAGTCGTGAGTCATAGGTATTATCTCCGTGAAGTGTAGAATTAAAGGGGAAAATGAATGAATAGTTATGGTTATAAGAGAAGGTTTTGAAGTTGTGGATATTATAGCTGATACATTGTGCAATGAAACTCAGATTGGAAAACGAGTCTTTTAGTTGAAATTTTAGTTTTGGCTCTTTTTTTTTTTCTTTTAAGTATATCTGTTGGGGTGATGAAGCTATAGCATAAACAGTACTTTTTGTGGAAAGTGATAGGTACAGAAGACAAAAATAATTTTGTTTAAAATGGCTGATTTCAAAATAAGACATGGTTGCACACATCTTAATTTCAACATGTAAGAGGCAGAGCCAGGTGGATCTCTGATTTTGAGACCAGATTGGTTGTAGTAAGCTCCAGAACTACATAATGGGACCCTATCTCAAAACAAATCAAATTAAAACCAAAAGGATCATTTAAATAGACATTTTTATTAGGTTTTTAGAATCTGAGACCTTGAGTGTAAATGGGAATTTGGAATTGAACAGGGGCAATGAGTGACTTCCTGTCTCATACCTTTAAATAAATACCCTGAGAAATGTTGGTGATTCAGCCCAGATGAGGAAATGTTTATTTAGTGTGAAAATTAGAAACAATTCATTTACCTATTGTAAAATACTCAGTTTCCTTACCTGGTAAAAATAATTTTTCAGGTCTTTTAAAAAAGTTACATTACATATGGTATAAGATACCCCATGATGTAATATATAGGTAGGTTTTTTGCTTTGTTTTTTTCTTTTTTTCATTGTGCTAAAATAGAGGAGGAGTAAAGATTATATATCTGAAAACAAATATTTAAACAGTTTCAGGAATAAAAACTACAAAAGAAGACTGGTTAAAATGCATCCCTACAAGGACAAAGATGTCTGAATCAAGTGAAGAAATAGGTAAAACACCATCTGTTTTCATTTTTTGTTTTGATTTACCAGCTTGTCTACAACATGGATATAATCACAGTACTGTCTCAATGCATGATTTTATTTATATTCTTTTTTTAGTCCCTTGGTGTTTGTTTCTGAAGGTAAGATAGCATTCTGTTTTCTCTGTCAGGATGGAGTGGGAGGCCAGGATCTAGTTCCTTAACAGAACTTTAACTTTATTAACAGAAAAATAATACTATCACACTGAATTAGGTGAGTTTTGACATAAAGTCTTGAATTTTCTGGATCTGAGCGGACCTCAATTTTGACATTGTGTCAAGTGATATGTGAATAAGAATATTGTGTAATTGTGATTAAACTCTTCCCTAAGATCTGTGGCAGGCTGGATTGGCCTCCAGTAATGTCTGACAGCCTCCATTTGCTGATTTGCGGGCTCATTCATTCAATCCCCTAAACAAGATAGGCATGGACATTCCCATTTGTCATCTGGCTTATTGCATTGCTAGATTAGGAACTTGAACCTGGTCTCTCTCTTCAGAGTTCTTTGAGGATAGCGGTGCAAGTGTTTTAAAGGACGAAAGGATGGTTGTCCTGGTAGCTTTCAGTTTGTTGGAGATTGGGCTCAGCCTTGTACTCACTGTGAGCTTCTGATTCTCTTGCCTCCACTCTCACCTGCTGAAGGTTTATGTGCTGCTAAGAATAGAGTCCAGGGCTCTGTGCACATTAGGCAGGAACTTTATTAACTGGATCCTCTGTTTAATTTAAAGTGGAATGAATGTATTTCATAGAGTAGATCTGAGGAGTTCTGCCTTCGTTTTGCTTATTTTAAAAGAAGCCTTTTAGCAAGTGGTAGTAGCTCACACCTTTAATCCCAGTACTTGGGAGGTAGGGGCAGGTGGATTCCTCTGAGTTCAAGGCCAGCATGGTCTACAAATCGATTTCCAAGCCAGCTAGGGTTGTTACATAGAGAAACCCTGTCTTGGAAAAAAAAAAAAGTAAAGGTAGTTTCTGAGTCTTGAAATTGGGAATACTTTTACTAAGAGCAATGACAGAATCTTTTTAAAAGATTTATTATTATTATTATTATTATTATTATTATTATTATTTTTATTTTTTTTATTTTTGAGACAGGGTTTCTCTGTAGCTCTGGCTGTCCTGGAACTTGCTTTGGAAACCATGCTGGGCTCAAACTCAGAAATCTACCTGCCTCTGCCTTCTGAGTGCTGTGATTAAAGATATGTGCCACCACGCCCGGCCAAAAGATTTATTATTTTTAATTAGTGTATGAGTATGAGTCTCTGGGTCTGTGTACCTGAATGCCCTCAGAGGTGTAAGATCCTCCTGAACTGGATTTGTAGGCAGTTTTGAGCCACAAATATGCATGTTGGGAATAGATCTTGGGTCTGCTACAAGAGTGGTATACACTTTTAATCACTGAGTCATCTATTTTTCTTTAAATTTTAAAAAATTGTATTTTTTTAGAGAGGAAATTTGACAAAGGTGAGAATAGAGATTCAGACATGTATAGGCAGGCATGTACAAACTGAGTCAGACATACTGAGATAATGCATATAAGAAAAAGCTTAGCTAGCCATACTGTTTCATGCTTATAACCCCAGTACTTGAGGGGATAAGGCAGGAGGATTGTAGAGAACTGGAGACCAGCCTGGGTTACAAAACAAAGTACTGTCTCCAAGAAGGAAAAAAATGGGCTGAGGATATAGCTCAGTAGGTTGGGTGCTTGCCTTGCATTCTTGAGGCTCTGGATTTGACATTCAGTGCCAGCCTGTTAGGGGAATACACAGGATTGAAAGTGTAGGTGTAGTGAAGAGGGAAAGGAGGCCCCTGAACTGAGAGAGAGAGCAGCTATAAATGCCTGGAAGCAGGAGAGACAAGGCCCATGGAACAATAAACTAAAGGGTTAAATGAAAAGGGAAGGTACAGGCTTTTCAGAGGTAGACAAAATTACCCCTTTACATTCACTGTTTGGAACTGGCCAAGGTCTTTATTGCTCTTTTCTTTTTCCCATTTCCTTTCCCTTTCTCCCTTCATTTCTCCTTTTCCCCTTTCCTCTCTTTCCCTTCCTTTCCTTTCCCTTCCCTTCCCTTCCCTTTTTTTTTTAATTAAAAAGATGGTGTCTTGCTGGGCGATGGTTGTGCATGCCTTTAATCCCAGCACTTGGGAGGCAGAGCTAGGTGGATCTCTGTGAGTTCAAGGCCAGCCTGGTCTACAGAGTGAGTTCCAGTACAGGCACCAAAACTACAGAGAAACCCTGTCTCGAAAAAAACAAACAACAACAAAAAAGATGGTCTCTTATGTAGCCCAGGCTTGCCTTGAACTAGGTATGTAGTTAATACTGATCTTGAACTTCTGGTTATCTTCTCTTCCTTAGTGAGTGTATATGTTGGGTGAGAGAATTATGTGCATTTGGGTGTAGTGCCCTCAGAGTCCAGAAGAGGACATTGGATCCCCTGAGTTACAGGAAGTTGTGAGCCCTCACTGTGTCGGTGCTGGGAATCAAACTTGTCTCATTCTTGCTCTTTATTCCCCCCTCGAGACAAGGTCTCACTGTGTTGCCTTGGCTGACTTAGAACTCTCTTTGTAGAAGCTGGCCTCTTCTCAGAGGTCCACCTGCCTCTATCTCCCAAGTGCTGGGACTAAAGGTAGCTACCACTGAACCATCCTTTGAGTTCTTCCTTTGGTTTTTGAGGCAAGCTCTTGTTGTGAAATTCAGATTAGCCAGGCGGTGGTGATGCACGCTTTTAATCCCAGCATTCTGTAGGCAGAGGCAGGTGGATCTCTGTGAGTTCGAGGCCGTCCTGGTCTACAGAGCGAATTCCAGGACATCCAAAGCTACACAAAGAAACCCTGTCTCAAAAAACCAAATCAACCAAACAAACAGAAACCACAACAAAAACTCAGACTGGCCTTGAGCTGAAGATCCTCCTGCCTCAGCCTTGAAAATGCTGTGATTATAGGCATTTGCTGCCATTTCAATAATCTAGCTCAGTTTTCTGCCCCCACACACAATGCACATTTCCTGTCTCATTTTTTTCAGTGTATGTTTGTCATATTGAACATTAAGTATCAGTTTTGTTTTCTTAGATCGGGCTGATTCAAGACTCTCTAAGAGAAGCTTCAGTGCAGATGAATTTGAAACGCTACAAAACCCAGTAAAAGACTCAAATGTCATGTTCCGGACCTACAAAAAAATGTACTTGGAGAAGAGAAGCAGAAGCCTCGGGAGTAGTCCAGTGAAATAGGCACAGGATGTAGTGGTTTTACTTTACCACCCAGCTATCTAACTTTTTCTTTTCAGGCTCCCTTGCTGGAAATAACTCAGGACTTTCACATTTGGATTTCTCAGCCAAGGAGTTCAGTTACAGCTTATGTCTTTCATTGATACTGTGTGACTGAAATGTTGGATTAGCTGCTGGTGAGCAGGCAAAGAAACATTGCATTTGTCTGGGAACTACAAAGTATGTGATCTTCTATATAGTTGAACCATGTTTACTATTTTAAGTCTTGTTGGCACAGTGGTGCACACCTGTGATCCTAACATTTGGCAGATGGAGACAAGGGGATCAAGAATTGGTCATCTTCAGCAGCATAGTCCATTGAGGTCAGTTTAGATTACATGAGATCCTCTCTCCAAAAACAAAACAACGGCAACCAAAAAGAACGTGAAGGTGACTTACACAAATCTTACTTTGAAATGCTGTTATGCTGACATAACTATTCATTAGCTAAGGACTTATTTGACTGGGACTGTAAATATATTTTTGTTTCTAATAAGCACATTAGCAAAACTTATTTTTCAGAAAATACCCACTGTGAATGTCAAAAGTATATTCCTAAGTATTTTGTACCTTATTGTAAAGGTTTTTTCAGAAGTCTTGTTTTATACTTTTGTTAAACTGAATGGAATTTTTGGAAGATGTCTTGACATTACTTTTCATACTTGAAATAAACATTTATTTTTTAAAGAACTACAGTTGAAGTCTTCATGGTTTCACTTCTCTTTGTTTTCTTACAGTTACTAATAGACATATTTGGATAAGTTAGGCACATCGTCAAGGAGGCTAAGATGGCCTTTGCTATAGAGGACACAGAATGTTTACTTCTAGGAGAGCATTGGTTATTTAGCATGCATGTTAAGTGCTCTGCCACTTAACTATACCTCTAGTCCTGTTTCTTTTTTAACCCCTAATGTTGTATATATAAACATTGAAATATGAAAGTACATTGAAAGTGTAAGGTAGACAAGAAGATTTTAAGATAATTATGAAGATTCAGCTTCCACCAATCTTGTGGGAAACACCTGCTTACAAGCTTTTTATGAAGTATCAAGGAATACACATGATTATTTGAAAATGCTATTGCACTTTTTTTCCATGAAAAAATATGAATGGAAGGCTGAGGCAGGAAGATTGCTGCTAATTCAAAAATAGTCTGGACTAGGGAGTAAGATCCTGTCCCAATCAAAAGAAAAGGTAGAGGTTTAGGCAGTGAAGGAAACCACCAAAAAGAGAAAGCTGATGAAGATGTAATTGAATGAAGCAGCATGTTTCAGCCCCAGCAAGCAGCAGAACTTGGTAGCTTCGGCCATGTGGTTCTGGCTTTAGAGTTAAGGGTACAAGAAAGGGGTTATGGAATCTCCCTTCCGTAACTAAGGAAAGCTGCTGAGTCCAAGCATGTGTTAAGGGTGTCCCTGTATGGAAGCCCAGAGAAGACATTGTGTGAAGCTATAAAGGTGAAGGCCTGGATTGCCTTGGAGACCCCAAGATGTTTGAAATGCCAGAGTCATATGGTACCTGCCAAGGAAATCTCCTAATGGATTATCAGCCCAAAAGAATTGTGTTGAAGTCAGCAAATCTGAAAGGAGTTGGAGATCTGAGGAGCATTTTAACAACAGACATGGAAGATGCAGAGTTTGGAATTTGCCCAGCTGGATTTTGGTTTTGCTTTGGTCTAATATTTCCTTAATATCCTTCTTTTCCTCCCTTTTAGAATGGTAATGTATATCCTTGCCATTATATGTTGGATGTGTGTGATATGCTTTTGATTTTGACTTTATAGGGGATTACAATCAAGAGACTGCCAAGATTCCCAGGAGAGATGACTTTTACGTGGTTGAGACTGTCATAGCGTATGGGGACTTTTAAAGTTGGACTTAACACATATTTGCATAATGATGTTGTTATAAAACTCATGGGGGCCAGGGAGTGGAATGTGATAGTTTGAAAGAAAAGGGCTCCCATAGACTCAGGGAGTGGCATTATTCTGAGATGTCACCTTGTTGGAATAGGTATATGTAACATGAATCATAAAAGGTCTTATTAATAAAAACAAACCTGGAGCCAGGTATTGGGGTGAATGCTGAAAGATCAGAGAAATAACAAGCCACATCCAATCTCACCTTGCCAACTTTTCAGCTGATCTTGTTTACTCAGACTGAAAGCCTCTGAGGCCTCATCCGAATGGATCTCAACTGCTTAAAAGCCACTGGTTCCTGGTTTTCACGGCTTATATACCTTTCTGTTTCCTGCCATCATTTCCTGGGATTAAAGGTATGTGTTGCCATGCCTGGCTGTGTAGATGTAACAGTCTTATTTAAATAAGAAACACAGAGTCAAATGTAGAGTTAAAAGCCCAAGAGGTCAGAGCAGTAGCTGATACAAAAACCCTTTTCTACCTTTTGCTGCCGTCCTTCCCCTGACAAGGAAGCCTACTTCCTGTGTGTCTGTCTTTTTATTGACTTTCTGTACTGCTTTCTTATTAGTTGTAAATCTAACCACATGACCTCATCACTGCCTGTTTATACAGATCTCTAGGTCTCTATGGTTGGTATTGAGATTAAGGGCGTGTGTCTCCATGCTGGTGGTGTCTTTGAACACACAGAGATCTGCTTGTCATGTGATCAGGATTAAGGGTGTGCGCCACCACCGCCCAGCTTCTGCTGTGGCTTGCTATTAGCTCTGACACCCAGGCAACTTTATTTATTATCATACAAATAAAATCACATTTTGGTACAAATAAAATATCACCATATTGCCCCCTTTCTATTTTAATAAAAAGAAAAATGGAAAAAGTTATAACTAATATAAGAAAAACTATATACAAAAGTACAATAACTGCCGGGCGGTGGTGGCGCACGCCTTTAATCCCAGCACTCGGGAGGCAGAGCCAGGTGGATCTCTGTGAGTTCGAGGCCAGCCTGGGCTACCAAGTGAGTTCCAGGAAAGGCGCAAAGCTACACAGAGAAACCCTGTCTCGAAAAAAACCAAAAAAAAAAAAAAAAAAAAAAAAGTACAATAACTATATACCACATATACAAGTAATAAATACCTAAACAATGTCTAGTCCATTTGCATTTGACAAATTCAGAGAAAATAATTCCATTATCCTATATTGGTAAGTCCAAAATGTACCTGATTCACTAACAGAACTATCTTATAACGTCTTTCAAATTTATACACTTACTCTTTAGTGAGTTTCTTTTCTAAAATTCTTAACAAGGAAAACTATAACTATCTAAACTTTAACTGTAACTATCTAATCTTCAACTCCCTCAGAGACCCAAGAAGGAAATATTACCTAACAAAAATAAAAGCAGGAAGTGCACGCAAGCAGCTTCCAAAAAAAAAACAAAAAAACAAAAAACGTGAGTTGACAGAAACAGCCAGCTGCCTGGACAGTCACCTTAGGTTTCTCCGCAATGTTGGGGCATCATCTTCAGCCTATAGGCTTAGCATATCTGACAGACTCATTTGTGAAGTAGGATGTACATAAGGTTAACAGTTCGACCTCACATTTGGTGAGAGCAGTCCATGTACCAGAAATACCTGAATTCCACTAGTGTCATGCCATGATTCAGGATTTTAAACTCTGGAAATTGTTGATGTTTTTTGAATACAGCTGTCCATTCTTGGCTGTGTGTGTGTGTGTGTGTGGCTTCTTCTCGACATCCCGTTCTTCTCCACATCCCATTACTGAATGCCAGTCTACTATTGAGAGGTATGAGCTTAGTTACTCTTCAAGAATAACTGTTTCAGCTGCTGTTCCACTGCACATCAGAAGCCATTGGCCCACTGCCTGTTCATCTGTCTTCGAAGAAAGGGGCACTGTACCTCTTCTGGATTGCAAACGCCACTACAGGGATGGTGCCATATTGTCCTGGCCTCAGAAGATGCCTTTTGTTGAAGCCACAGCCACACTTGTTTTGGCAAGAATGTAGTCCTTTGTTTCGTGTCCTGTCTGTCCTGTTTGTCAGCAGTTGATTCGAGGATACTTTGTTGTCCAGTGGCTAACTTTTGCCACAATGAAAGTTAACTCCATATGAAATTTCTTCAATGCCCATATTTTCTCTGAAGTAGATTGGTACTGCCAGGAGCCGACATGTCTCATAGATATAACAAAAAAGAGTTATTAAAACATTTTAAATGCCATATTCTGTAGATCTCTGAAGGGTTTGAAGATGACCTGTCTATCTAAAATATATCTGCTCAATCTTGAAAACATACCTAGTATGACTACAAGTTCTTTTGTAATGTCTAACTACTAACTTTCATTTCTTTATATCCTAATAGTTGGTAATAATAACATTCAAGGATCAGCAAATTGCATTACATTGTTAAATGAACAGTATAAGTACATATTTTGAACAAGATTAGAAATATATGTATAGCATTTTCTAACAATACCAATCTCAATATATATAAATTGTATACAATATACAAAAATCCAATCCAATATAAAGTATTTAAAATTAGTAATTGTCTTTTAAAAGTAGATTCAATAATCTATCTTTTTATCTATATCTTTTTATCTATATCATATCTATATCTTCTCTTTATTTTTCCAAGTAGACTCAATAATCTATTTTATCATTCCTATGTATCTTTTTTTTTAAACAAGAACCTTAAATCTGTTCTCCTTTGCTTAGCCCTTTTCCTAACCCTTAACAACAACTTGTAACCAACTCTCCTAAACAATGAAAATTATCCCAGACCCAAAATCCATTAAAAGGCCAAAAAACCACCCGCCCCACACCACTCCTTTGGGAATATAGGCATCGTATTCTTAAATTTGCTTCTTGCTGGATATGGGCGAAGGTATCTTTATTCTGAAAAGAAAAATTTTGGGTTGTCAAATTCTAGGAAAGGTAGCTATATCCTTTGTTGTCCAGTCTGTGTATAATGCCAAAGTTCAGGGTTTATCTCAAGTCCTTATTCAGGTAGTCTTTGAAACTGGATCATCTCAGCTAGCCCCCTCAAAATTGCTCTGAGCACTTTGTAGTTCAAAGCTGATCTGTAGATGATGTTTGTCAGCTTAGTGGTATTATTATTGTCCACGTGGAATTATTCCATCTTCCTCCTGGAGACTTCAGTTGATGTTAGGCCTGGCCGTGATTTCCTGCAGAAAACTGATAAGAGACTCAAACACAAAGACATGAATAGAAAGCTAATTGAAGCCTTTTTTCCCCTAGAATTAGTATTTTATATGACCATTATTAACTTAACAAAGTTTAAAATATATATATTAATCTTGTAAATTTTGATATAAAATTCATACTTTAAGAAGAGTTTAAAGAATCAGAATAGAATCAAAGAGTTGAGATTAGTAATAGAATAGTCCCTTAATTAATTTGGTTTTTCTCCTGTCCCATAGCAGAAGACGGCTCTTCTTCTGGCATGATACAGGGAATTTGCATTTTCCTTTTAACAACATGCTTGAGTTTAAAGAAGGAGAGAGTCATTCTCCAACTCCAAAGCCAGCTTTAAATTTTAATTGAACTGGGACTACAAGAAGACCAATAGTGTTAAATGTTTTTAGAGAAGAGCAGAAACAAACATTGAGGAAGACTTATGAAATTTTATAGATGATATACCAATAGGCCATTTTACTCTTTTTCTTGGGACATTTTCTAGATAATTTGTTCTTTTTCTTCAGATGTCTCATTTGTCCAATGTTCTTCAGATTCCTTAGCCTTCA